ATCCTATTAATATTATAAAAATAATACACATACTAAACAAGAAGGAGAGTTCTTAACTTATCTAGTTACTTAAAAGTAGGGAAGCCCTCTTTCCATGCTTAAAGTTGGGTGGGGCCCTAACCATGGTGGGGTTATGTCCCCCACCCCACATGCCTTGTCTTTGCTCATGATAGCACAGTGAACTGTGCGAACGACTTGCATCCAGCAAAAAAAATAAAAATGCACAACATCGTATGTTTTCCGCTGGAATACCCCGGCTCAACACCGTCATTAGCTGCTGTCATGACGTGACCGATATGTACCGCTCCATGTGTCAAATGAACATTATTTTATCCAGGGGCGGGCGGGACTGAAGCACAGTGAACTGTGCGAACGACTTGCACCCAGCAAAAAAAAAAAAAATACCAAAAATTGCGGAATCGTTTGCAGGTTTTGCAATTGCCATGCTAAAAACTGTCAGAGTATTATTTTTTTGTAAAAAAAATAAAATGTAGTACGTACTGCGAGAATCTAATAAAAATATTATTTCGCCTCAACGGTAGAGTTTCTACTATTAAAATTATCACCAGTCGCTTGCAATTTAATTTCCAGTGCATGTGAGGATCGCAAAATAGTCGAATTAGTTATATTTATTGAATAAATAATTATATTTATATACGAGAGTAAGTCGAGTCATCTTACTCCCACCCCAGGCCAGGGCGCATGCGCACTACACTCGAAATTCGAAATACCAGCGATGGGATATAGTTCCGGCCAGATTTGGGAATTCTCTAGGACCCAACCTCTCTGACGTGGGAAATCACTAGATCAAAAAAAAAATAGTACCGAAGAAGACGCGCGAGATTCAAATAAGGTCCAATAACACAAGCATCCATCACCTGATGACCCAGTGTGCTTACTGGCCACTCTGTTAAATAAATAATTATTAATAACACAAGCGCCTATCACCGTATAACCTGAGGCGCTAATTCCAAATCTAGTAAATAAATAATTATTCATAAATATGTCAAGCACCTTTTTCCTGAAGATCCAGGACACTTGTTTGCAACACTATTAAATAATAAAAAGTTGGTTGATAAAATATTAACCATATCACAATTTTTATTGCCTATCTTGTACGAAAAAGATCTTTTTAATTGGCGCTCTTGTAATTACTTGATAATTAATTATTCAATAGTAGCCAGTAAGTACCCCGGGTCATCAGGTGATAGGCACTTGTGTTGTTAATAATTATTTACTTAACAGAGTGGCCAGTAAGCACACTGGGTCATCAGGTGATGGATGCTTGTGTTGTTGGACCTAATTTGAATCTCGCGCGTCGCCTTCGGTACTATTTTTTTTTTGATCTAGTGATTCCCCACGTCAGAGAGGCTGGGTCCTAGAGAATTCCCAAATCTGGCCGGAACTATATCCCATTGCTGGTATTTCGAGTGTAGTGCGCATGCGCCCTGGCCTGGGGTGGGAGTAAGATGACTTGACTTACTCTCGTATAAAAATATAATTATTTATTCAATAAATATAACTAATTCGACTATTTTGCGATCCTCACACGCACTGGCAATTAAATTGCAAACGACTGGTGATAATTTTAATAGTAGAAACTCTACCGTTGAGGCGAAATAATAGTTTTATTAGATTCTCGCAGGACGTACTACATTTTATTTTTTTTACAAAAAAATAATACTCTGACAATTTTTTGCATGGCAATTGCAAAACCTGCAAACGATTCCGCAATTTTTGGTATTTTTTTTTTTTTG